TGATCTGTAGTTTTCTTTTGATGTCTTTGTCAGGTTTTGGTATCATGGTGTAATATTGGTCTCAAAAAATGAGCCGAGAGGGGCGACTGGGTGGCTCAGTCATTAAGCGTCTGCCTTCGGCTCAGGTCATGATCCCAGGGTCCTGGGATCGAGCCCCGCATCAGGCTCCCTGCTTGGCGGGAAGCCTGCTTCTCCCTCTCGCACTCCCCCTGCTTGTGTTCCTTCTCTCGCTGTGTCTCTCTTTGTCAAATAAATAAATAAAAATCTTTAAAAAAAAAAAATGAGCTGAGAAATGTTTATGCCCCTTCTGTTTTCTGGAAGGCTTTTCAAAGGATTGGTGCTAATTCTTCTTTAAACACTGTGGTAGAATTCACCAGTGGAGCCATCTGGTTCTAGGCTTTTCTTTATGGGAACTTATTACTAATTTTTCCTTTTTACTTGCATATGTCTATTAGATTTTCTGTTTCTTCTTGAGTCAGCGTCAGTATTTTTTATCTTTTAGGAATTTGTGCATTTCATCTTAGTTATCTAGCTTGTCGACGTACATTTGTTCATATTGTTCCCTTATAATACTTTTTGCTTCTTTAAGTTTGTTAGTTTGGTAGTGATGGGTCCTCTTTCATTCCTGATTTTAGAATTTGAGTCTTTATGTTGGTCATTCTAGCTGAAGTTGGTCAATTTTATTGATCTTCTCAAAGAACCCACTTTTGATTTTGTTGGGCTTTTTTTATTTTTCTGTATTTCTATTTTTTTTTTTTAAAGATCTTATTAATACAGTATTTATTTGTCTTCCCTCTGTCAAACCCTGAGCCAACCACTTTCCCCAGGCTGCCTGGGGAGGTATAGGAAAAGGAACATACAGGGCAGACAAGACACGGGAGAAAGACCTATGGGAGGTGGAGACGTCTCCTTCACATGGTGAAGAAGATGAGAAAGGCCACCATCAGGCAGAAGAGCCCCATGGCCTCCGAGAGGGCAAAGCCCAGAATGGCGTAGAAGAGCTGTTGCTTCAGAGACGGAGTCCTGGCATAACCAACGATGAGGCTCCCAAACACAGTCCCAATTCCAGCCCCAGAGCCAGCCACCCCTACCGTGGCAGCCCCAGCCCCAATGAACTGGACTGCTGTGCGCACGTCCCTTGAAATGGCACTGGTTTGGAAGCTGCGGCTGGAAATAAGTGAGGTCAGGGGACGTGGGGCTGCCAGGCCGCTGAGGCTCTTGTAGGTACCTCATCCGTCAGTGTCTCCAGCGCTTTTAGTACCGCTGCAGACAGTGATGGGCTCAGCAGCTGGGAGGTGCTCCTGACCAAGAAGGGGGTGGAGACGAACTTTGCACCGGCGGACATTTTCAGGGGATGAGGGGCCGTGGAAGGAGAGCTGCTCCCAGTGCAGAGAAGTGTATTTCTGTTTATTTCCACTTCAGTCTTTAGGATTCCCTTCCTTCTTGCTTTTGGTTTTGATTGCTCTTTTTTATGGTTTCTTTTTTTTTTTTTTAAAGATTTTATTTATTTATTCATGAGAGATAGAGAGAGAGGCAGAGGCAGAGGGAGAAGCAGACTCCCTGCCGAGCAGGGAGCCCGATGCGGGGCTCGATCCCAGG